CTGACACCCTTGCCAAGAAAGGGACTGTCAAGGGCTCATAAGACAATTCCGGAGGCCCAGAGCATCACAATGCTCAAATGCTCAGGATGCTCAAATGCTCAATTTACTGACACCCTTGCCAAGAAAGGGACCCCTTTCTTGGCAAGGGTGTCAAATGCTCTGACACCCTTGCCAAGAAACGGAGTCTGATGCTCAGACACCCTTGCCAAGAAAGGGAAGAGAATGCTCAATTTACTTAAACCTCCTTTCCTGCCCAGATGCTCAGATGCTCTGAGCATCTGGGCAGGAAAGGAGGTTTAAGTAAATTGAGCATTCTCTTCCCTTTCTTGGCATCTGAGCATCTGGGCAGGAAAGGAGGTTTAAGTAAATTGAGCATTCTCTTCCCTTTCTTGGCAAGGGTGTCTGAGCATCAGAGCATCTGAGCATCTGGGCAGGAAAGGAGCGCGGGGGTCGGCCAACCCTTCAGTGCCGAGGCTGCCACTGCTGCCGCCACCGAATACATGGCAGAACACTTTGACATGTGCACATCTAATTGCGCGGGTAGCGGGTAGAATAGACCAGAATTTCGTGATTGCGGCCTACTCGGTTGAAACCGGATATATGGCAGAAGTTGGCGACTTTTGTTCTGACCTGGAGCACACGGCTAACTCGTATCATTTGTCTGGCTAGAGCATGAAGGTCGTGACACCCGGCGCATAGGGCAGCAGCGCATGTATGACGGTGACCCACTTAACTCATGCCAAATCGGCCGGGACTCTGGAAATTGCACGCAGGGAATGTTCCTAAATGTCTCGGGGGTTGCTATATCGTTGGTCGGTTGGGAACCTAACTAATGCAAGATGCTTTTGTCTTCGCGCGAGCCTGGACAGGGCAAGCCTTGCGCATGCCCAGCTGATTCCTAGCCCTCAGTGGCTTACTTCAGCCAGATATTGAAGCTGGGGATGCCTTGCAGGGCAACATTCTGCCAGTCGGTGTTGTCAATGGGAGCGTCGTATGCGTTCCCATCAGCCTGTTGCACACCAACAGCCAGGCAGCAATAATTGGCTCGAAATATTTTGGCAACACTGCATACGCTGCGTGTAACAAGTCGTACAGCTTCTCCACTTTCCATGTGCCAGCAATCCCCGACGCAACATGTTGTTGCTGGGCTAGACAATGCAAGCCTTAAGCTTCAGCTACTTCAGCCAAATATAAACTCGGGATGGGCACATTTGGCCAGTCGGTGTTGTCAATGGGAGCGTCGTATGCGTTCCCATCAGCCGGTTGCACACCAACAGCCAGGCAGCAATAATTGGCTCGAAATATTTTGGCAACACTGCATACGCTGCGTGTAACAACTCGTACAGCTTCTCCACTTTCCATGTGCCAGCAATCCCCGACGCAACATGTTGTTGCTGGGCTAGACAATGCAAGCCTTAAGCTTCAGCTACTTCAGCCAAATATAAACTCGGGATGGGCACATTTGGCCAGTCGGTGTTGTCAATGGGAGCGTCGTATGCGTTCCCATCAGCCGGTTGCACACCAACAGCCAGGCAGCAACAACTGGCTCGAGATATTTTGGCAACACTGCGTATGCTGCGTGTAACAACTTGTACAGCTTAACCACTTGCCATTTGTTGCTAGACATGGCAAGCCTTGCTCATGCCCACTGCTCATGCCCTGCCCCAGCTCATTTAGCCCGTCCGTGGCTTACTTCAGCCAGACATTTAGACTGGGGATACCTTTCAGTTCAGCATTTGGCCAGTCAGTGTTGTCTGTGGGAGCGTCGTATCCGTTCCCATTTTGAGTAAACCCGTTGGATGTGGAACCAAGGGGTAGCACACCAACAGCCAAGCAGAGATCATCCGGAAGTGTGTTGCCTTGATCGTTGATGGTAGCAGCGGGGTACGATCCGCCGTGACTCGAAAGCTTCATGATGCCGTAGCGATTTTGCCAACAGGTCTCGTTGTCGCCACTTTGGTCATGGACAAGCACTTGGTGGCCTGGTGCGGCGTCGATCACGCCCGTCCCTGCAAGCAGGTCCCAACAACGCACGAGCGCGGACCAGCAAGCGCTACTCAGGTTACACAACACACATGGCCACACAAAGGTCAACAAACGAGCTGTGCCTGCAGACTGGTTCCACCAAGTCGAGATTTCGCGGTCCGCGTCCATCTCCCACCTGAGGGAAAGGACTACAAGGGCAATTTTGCGAAAACGTCAAAAAGACAGAACATAGCCATGCAAATTTGGGCCTCACGGATTTGCTGGCATCGTCGTTACCTTGGGATGAGCAGGCTCGCAAGAGCTTTCTGTGCAGGTCGGGTTGGAGTCAAGTCCGTGCGTTGCTTCGAAGCTGCTGAGCCGGACCTCCGATGCGCAGTTCACGGCCATGTCGATTGCAGGAATGCTGGCCCACCTCTTTTCCAGCACCATGCAAGAAATGAGAAACAACTGGAAAGGACAAAGGACCCAGTCAGCACCTGCAAAGGCCCGCACGTATTGTTGGTGATGGTTCGAGCTTGAAGCTGGGATTCGTTGTGGTAGGCACGAAGCCAATCGTTGTTGATGGCGATCTGGACAGCAATTTGGCCGACCAGGGTCCAACCTTCTGTTGATAATGCAACTTCGTCATGAACAATATCCCTGGGTTCTTGTTGGCTATCCGATCCTGTGCTCTCAAGAGTCGCAACATCTTACTGGACGGTGTAAATGCGCCCAGTGCCGGTCTATGCAAGTCACGCTTGACTCTATCCATGAGGCAAGCCCATTTTCGGTATGCCGTTCATTATTCTTCGACACTCCCAACAAGCCTCCGTTGGTCATGTCACAGAATAGGTCCGTGTCTTGGACATTGTCATCCAAATCTCTGACTTTCACGGTGTACACGCCATCAGCCAAGCTCCCATTCTGAAAGAGATCCAAACAGGAGGCCTGGCAGGAGAGGCGGCAAGTACCGTCGTGTTTTCGATGAGCTGATGCGATTTCTTGGAGCTAGGTGCTTCACGGCGGGTCAGAGCCTGGAAGCTTGCACACAAAAAGTTCCGTCTAGTTAACCGCAATTCGGATTCTCATACTTGGCAGAAATACACTACCTTTTTACCAAAGGATCCCATATGTAATTCGTGGGACACGGGCAAAGAGAAGGAGTCAGTGATTTTCAGGCATCCGACTTCAAGACATCTTCTTCGCCTGCGACTTCCCGGAACGAGCCCGGGCAACCCACCTTTACCCAAAGAGCACCAGCTGCCACAGCTTGCCAAGCCAGGTCGAGAACTCCGGGGTGCAAGTTGCAACGTTCTAGCTCTAGCAACTTGTGACACTGCAGACCGAGGAGCAGGGTACTGTCGGCACAGCGCCTTGGTGGGTAATGGTTCTGATGCAGCTTCGGCTTGCAAAAAATGCCCTTTATAAAGACACGCAGCTGTTGTGGTGGTGGTCGTCGTGGTGGTGGTGGTCGTCGAAGTGAATGTAGTTGTCGCTGGTGCTGTGGTGCTTGAGGTTGTCGTTGCGGTCGTCGTTGTGGTGGTGGTCGTCGCACTGAATGTAGTTGTCGCCGATGCAGTGGTGCTTGAGGTTGTCGTCAAGGTGGTGGTTGTGGGGCTCGCCGTTGTCGTCGTTGTCAACGATGCAGACCTGAACCAAAAACGTCCAGTCCCAGGACGACAACGAAAGCATGGCGGACCTGTAGAACTTTAGAAAGCGACATCATCGATCGAACTCAACACGAATCATGTCGTTATACAACGCATGCTCATCGCGCCGGCAACGTCTGATTGGATTTCTTGCTCATGCTCACGCACGGCGACCCACCCGTCCGAAACATAGGTTGCCCAAGGTCACGTGAATCTTTCAGGATAGAACCAATCTTGGGCTACCGTGGCTGCAGAACTCGTGCTGGAACATGACAATAGCAGGAATAGAAACAAAAATAATAAGCATGTTCGTCAAAACATGGTCCTGGTACTAAGTTACGAAACCACCGCTACCACGCAACCTACATCAAGAAATCGGCACTGCAATTGCACATCAACGCTCTGAGCTTTCGGCGAAATTTCGAGATTCGCCGTGGCGTTGCCCGGCGTGGGAGACACAGGTTGCTGCATGACGTACACGCAGGCGTTTGGGGGCACCACTGTGGACAGGATCTTAGAAGGCTAGATGAACTGTAGGCTTTCAGAACAAATGAAGAGTTACACAAAAAGGTTGTGGTTAGGATTCGAATTTCACATCAGTACACCAGCAAACAAGGAAGTAAACACAAAAACCGGCCGATGCGAAACAACAGTTCTAATGCCGTTCCGCAACCGCCCGATAATCAACATCGTTCCCTGACCATGGCTCCCCACACTGAATGCCATTGTCCGCATTGCAGCCTGGCAGCTCGGGGATAGGCTGGGACATGGTCGTCCAATCCGAGTCTGTAATACGAACATGTTCACCTTCTGGTCAGCATGTTAAGGAGCGGGCTTCACTAAGGGTTCCTCATCACACACTGCGCTCCACACTTTTCGTGGTATGGTGCTTGCCATGACTGCGTCTGAGCTCGTATGCCGACGAGGCATTCAGTTGGCTTCCTGAGCACTAAAATCGGAACATGTGACCTCGCACACAGTCAGAATCTGCCTGTCGGCTTGCTTCTTCCTCACTCTACTCAACACTGCGCGCAGTCACTTGAAAGGTAGCTTTGGCCCGTTTGGGGCTGATCCCCCCCCCGTTTCGGTGGGCTACCTAAACAACTAGCTACCGTGAGCCTAAATGCAAAGGTGAGACACAGGTGAACCTTACGTGCGCAAGAATTGTACTAAACGAGTTTCACCTAAACCTCACTTTAGTCAGCAGCACGAATGCGCACAACCCCTTTGCGCGCAGTGCACTTGAAAGGTAGCTGTTACCCGTTTGGGGCTCACCCCCCCCTCTCTCTGGTTCGGCCCCGTTGTCGAGCGCAGCCAGGAACTCGGCTGACGGCAGAAATGCGAGCCCCGGTGGCCCGGCCGGGGTGCAGGTCCCTGCGGGCTTGGTCCGTCTCCAAGTAGTCCCGCAAGGCCGCCACGTGGTCCAAGCAAGCCAGACCGTCTCGCGCAGCTGGAAGTTCGCTCGCCGCCAGCCATCTGAACAGCCTTTGTATCCCCCGTCCGATCTGCTCTGTGATCGTTTCCAATTCTTGAAACCTGATCCGCCGCCCTGACAGGGAGTCTTGGGCCAGGATTGCTGCCCCCGCAGATGCCATAGCTAGTTACAGGTAGTTGGTTTGGCTCACTTCTGGAGGCAGGGCTTGGTGGCCTGGGTGATGGGCGGTGGGGGCTTTTTCTCGTGTCTTGTTCCAACAAGGAGTCTATGGTTTGCTGGAGTACCCTTGAGGCCTGGTACAAAAAGGTGGCGAGCTCTTCCGGCGGCTGGCTGAAGCTCACACCCGGCAAAGTTTTGCAAGTTGCTCCTTCTTGGAGCGGTCTCCTGCTGGGCGCGTGGGGGTGCTGGGGGCCGGGTCCCCTGGTGAGCCTGGCCTTCTGAACTTGGCCACTCGCGCTCCGACTCGGACATGGGAACTGGCGGGGGGCGCACGTTTGGCGTGGTGGTGCTCGCCGTCGTCCCCGATGGTCTTCGCTGTTGCTGCGGCTGTGGTTGCTGAGGCCTTTGCTGCTGGGTTGGCTCGTTCCTGGTCCACCTGTTGCGGGCCGGCTGCTGTGCTTGTTGTTGGGCTGCGCTCGTCTGGTGGTCTGCGCTGGCTGCTGGCTTGGGGTGAGCCGACTTGGCAATGGGCTGCACCGCTGTATGGGAGGCGGGTGGCTGCCTTGGGGCGTGTTGCTGTCCCCCGCTGCCTTGGAGCTGGGGTTGGGGTTGCTGCGATCGTGGTTGTTGCGTAGGTGGTGGTGGGTGTTGTGGTTGTTGAGGTGGCGGTGGCGGTGGTTGTGTCGGCTGAGCAGCCTGATGCGCCGCCTGAGTTTGCGTCGTGTGGCCGCCTTTGAGGTGGCTGTGCTGGTGGTGCCTTGACTGTTTCTTGGCTGCTTTTGCTGAGTCGACGGTGGCGGCGGGTTGGGGCAGGCGAGCCGTGCTGTCTGCGGTGTTGCCGGATGTGTCCGGCGTCTGGTGTGGGGGTGTTGGGGTGCAGGCGCCGGTGGAGCCTGTTCCCTAGTGGGTGAGGGCATCGGCTAGGTTACGTACTGTGTCCCCCCAACCTTTCGATATCCCCGGCTTCTCGGGGTCTCATCTGCCACCCATCGTCTGTCCAAGCTAGTACGAAGCTGGCTTTTTTTGGAAGGTGAAGTATTGTCCTGCTGGGGACGACGGGTCCGCGGCCGTGGTGCTTTGGATTTGCAATAGCCAGAACGCTGGGATGACAGTGGAGGCTGGGTTGATCCGCTGGTATCCTGTCCACGGGCCGATGGGGGTGAATGCCAGCTCGGTGCCTGGGGCGAGTGTTGGTTTGGAGAGGGGCTGGTTGCTAGGCTCCCCGCTGCTGTCCCCCTCTGGATGTTGTTGTCTGCGCCATTGCAGGACAGTGGGCTCTGTGGCCTGGCGTCTCTCTCTCTCTCTCTCTCTCTCTCTCTCTTTCTTTCTCAAGGGCTGAGGGAGAGGGGACAGCGCCCCTCACCCGCGCGCGTCAGCGCCCCCGCTTGTTGCGGAGAGGCTTTGCAAAAGGTGCGCTCGCCAAAGAGGCAACTCGAGGATACTGGTATGCTTGACATGCTACAACAAGGCAAGTATCAACCAATCATGGTATCCTCCTCATGGGGTGTTCCCATCTTCGCACCGGTGCATTGGTGAAGACCAGAGGGTGTCCCCCTAATGGAGCGTAACAGGCACCGCAAAGGCAGGGTGACTCCCCTCCGGCAAATAATTGTTGCAACATCGGATGCCATGGTCCCTTGAATGTCCTCCAGGACAAAAAATGATACAGACACATAAGCAAGGTGCGTGCACTATTACAGGTCAGAGACAAGGACTGTGGCAAAAGCTGGGCTTGCAGCAAGCGGTGAGAAATGAAACCGAAAACCCTCACCCCTGGGAGAAGAGGGGAAAGAGGGGGGGGGGGAAACCCCGAGAACCTCCTGAAGACAAATGAACCTGAAGACTGAAGTCGGGCATGAGGGGCTCGCCCCTGGTTAAGTACTTATCCGAGGTGGGCCCCCTAGACGCGCGGCTCAAGGTTTTCTCACTTCTCATTGGACATAGGCGATCCTTCAAGGCTGCCGTCGTTGGAGTCCATGGCCGCATGCATTCGCCGTCTTCTGTGGGACGAACTTCGTTCGACAGCTCCTTCTAGGGGTTGGTTCCCCCCTGGTCCCTGGCTCAGTAGAACTGTGGAAGCCTCCGAACCCATGCTGGCAGCAGAAGCACCCAAGGCGAAGTCGTCCTCCGTCGTGTCAGTCAGGCAAATGGGAGCGCCCCATAGCGATGTAGTCCATTGGAAAAGGAGGCCATGAGCTTGGTGTACGACAGCGGCCGTTTGTTGCGCCAGGAAAGGCAGCACGGTCTCCAGCAGTTGTTGAGCTTTAAGGATGTCATAAGGGTTCGATCCCCTGGTGCTGTTCCCGACTCTTCCAGCCTCCGGCGCTTGATCCGGTAGATGCCGAGGGAGTTCTTGGTGAGGTACAGGTAGTGCAGGTAGTGCAGGATGCGCAGGTAGAGCTTGGGGCGTTGAGGCGCCAGCAGGCGCTTCGGGACGGGCTGTCATAGTCGCGGATTCGAGGGCCATTCCCGGGTCTCCTGCTGTGCCCTGCATGTACCGAGGGGCCTGTGCACTTCCAGAAGCTTGTTCACTGAGGCGTCGTCTCTTGGGGCTGCTATCAAGCCCCGAGAATCTCGACTGGATCCACGTGAGAAGTTGCCCCATGTATCCACTGCTGCGTTGCACGGCCTGGAGGCTGGTTCCCAGGGCTTCAGACATCTGCGATACGCCGCCCTCCTCGTTTGCAAGATGACACATTGCAAGGGATTGGAGAGCGTTGGCGATGGCTGCTTCTCCTGCCGCTGCTCCGGGTGTGTCCGGCTGTCTTGACCAGCTTTGAAGGAGGGTTCTGCTGGAGCAAGGCTTCAGCACGGAGGAGCTCACGCCTTAGGTGTCTACGGGGCAATTCCCGGTGATGCTGTGTCAGGTGCTCCAGGGTAGCCTCGGTCTCAATCAGAGGATTCTCGAGAAGGAAGAGCAGCTGCGTTGGCTCGGGCTCGGCGGGGTGCATGTCGTCCTGGGGAGGTTCGGGGTGCTCCCCGGATGCTGTTCTCCTTTCCTGGATTGTCTGGAGCTTGGAGAGGTAGAAGGCTGCATGATAAGCCAAGGTCGCGACTTCTTCACGTGGTTGGAGGTGTGATTGTTGTAACAGTTCTTCGATGACCTTCCTCAAGAGCTGTAGTATGGCTGTGACGGTAGGGCCTTGCTCCAAAAGGTCTCGCTGGAGCTCCTGCATCTCGGGTGAAATCCCCGGTGGTATCCATGGCTCATGGTTTGAGGTTGGAGTAGAGAAAGTTTGTGGCATAGTCGGTCTCGCGGGCGTCCCCGGGGGCGGTCTCTGCATCAGAAAGGTCGGGTCTTGCTCCTCCTCGGTCGCCGGCGGTGGGTCTTCGCTCGGCCAGCTCGTTTCCGTGTCGGAACCAGGGTTGTTGCTTGGTCGTAGTGGATGTCGAGGTCGGGCCACCTGTAGCTGGGTCGGCTCGCCATGGATTTGGCTAGGCGGTTGGCTGGGTAGAGGTGTGTCCCTCGCTGGTGGTCGCTGTCGTGTCGGAGCCAGGGTTCTTGCTGCTGTTGGTTCTTGTGACGCGGGCATCTCCACTTGCGGTCTTTTCAGCGGCAAGGTCTGTGACGTCTTTGGAGGTGCTTGGACTTCGTCAGCTGGTTCAGTCCTTGCCTGCCCGGAGGTAGAAATTTGCCCATGTAATGGCGGCGGTGGGGGCGGTGGTGGTTGGCGAGCCTGATGTCGTTCACGTTGGGCGGACGTCCCTCCGGTTGTGCTTGTAGACGACGAAGCCCTCTTTCAGGGGGTGTTGGTGGTCTCGGGCTCTCAGGAGGCGGCACAACTGCATATCCGCCCAAAGCTTCGATGTCGTTATCGTATCTTGGTCGTCTCCTCCATGATTGCGATGTCCCCTGCCATTCCAACCAGAAGCTCTGCCCCGCGACTAGGGGTTAAGACCCCTGTAGATGAGGTAGAAGACGTTGGGGGGACAACATCGTCGACGAGGAGGAGCCAAAAGCGAGGTGTTCTGGTGAAGCCAAGTTCGATCTTGGTCGTGGCTATCCACGGCCCCACCGGGATGATGGTAAAATGAGTGCCTGGGGCCATGGTGGCGCCGTCGGGGGAGGCCCCCGGTCTTGTCTTGTACACTAGCAAGGTAGGTTCAACGCCTCGACGAGCTGGATGAGTGACCGTGGCATTGGTGC